CCTTCCTATTTTGGGTTATTCTTTCGCTTTGTCAGGGTGTATCCTTTGTTAACTTTGTCAAGTGAAAACAAGAAACACGGCAGTCGGAGTGGTGCTGCCGGCCGCATCTGGTCCAGTTCCGACTCACCACCCTCTTTTCTGAGGTCTCCTCTCACCATCAGTGTGAGAGCCCCTCCCTGTGCTGGTGGCATTTTCATGCTGCTTGGATCTTCTTTCTGGATTTGCAGGCTGAGTATTGTGGAGGACGTTGCTTAGTAGCTTCTGGAAAAATGATGTTTGGGAAGTAATTTTAAAGGCATATTATAAATAGATTTTTATTTTATAAATGCTTATTATAATGCTGTAATAAGGACTGAGAAACAGAGACATAAAAGACTGCTTCTGCCCATAGTGAGTTTACAGAATAGGTGGACGGACAAGAAGTCTCTATAATAAAGTTAAAGTTAAGAGTGAAATAAGGTCACAGTCCAAGGGCTTTCCCAGGATACCTGTGATTAATTTCTGTACGAGGAGGAGTGCTGACCTTTTATGAACTCCGAGCTAGGAAACCTAATTGGCCTGGGATGTTTTGGAGGAGACGGTCATTAACCTTTAAAGGATTGGTAGGATTTTGATAAGTGGAGGTGATCGGAATGACATTTATATGTGGACATAAATTTTTTATGTGAACATGGTGTTAAGAATATTCTGGAGAAAAAGGAGCATACCACCTTGACCTGAACAAAGAGTATTGGAGGGAACTCAGGGATAAAGCTGGAAAAGTAAATTAGTGATAGACTGTGGAGGGTGCTGAGTCCCGGGAGAAGCAATGTGAGTTTATTCTGCAGGCAGCCAAGCACTGTGGGAGGTTTTTAGTAAGTAAACGTGGAGACGAGGTTACTGATATTCCAGAATGTCATATAAATGGAATCAAGGTGTGCAGCTCTTGTGCCTGGTCTCTTTCACGTGGCAGAATGCATTGGGGTTTGCATCGTGTGTTTCATCTGTCGGTAGTTTATTCCCATTGCTCAGCAGTGTTTCATTATATGCATGTACCACAGTTCAGCTTTTCCCAGTTAATGACTTTTGGGTTAGTATCAGTTTGGGGCCATTGTGAATAAAGCTGCTATAAATATTTGCATGTGGGTTTTGTGTGGACATGTTTCCATTTCTCTCTGATAAAATGATTGTTGGATTATATCTTAAGTGCATGGTTAATTTTATTTTAAAAATGCCAAACTGTTATTCAAAATGGCAGTACCATTTTCCACTCCTGCTTGCAATGTGTGAGCATTGCAGTTACTCTACATTCTCACAAGCACTTGATTTTTAAAGCCATTCTAATATGTAGTGATATTGCATTGTGGTTTGAATTTACGTTTCTCTCATGATTAATGATGCTGAGCATCTTTTTATGTGTTTATTTGACATCCATATATCTTCTCTGATGATGTATCTGTTTAAATCTTTTACCCATTTTTTTAAAGATTGTGTTTATTGATATGTAAAAATGATAAACTGTTCATTATAAATTCAAAGAATGCAGAAAAGTACAAATAAGAGAGTAAACCACCTTAGTTGAAGCACCCAGAAATAACCATTTTAATATTGAGTTAACATGCAAATAGGAAGACAGATGGATGGATTGGATGGATGGTGATGAATGGATGGATGTGTGTGTGGACAATTAGAAAATATTTATAAATGAGATATCACATGTGCTAATTTTAAAAATTGTGATGTAGTTTACATATCATGAAAGTCACCATTTAAGTGTACAAATGAGTGGCTTTTAGTATATTTACCATGTTGCAAAAACATCATCACACTCTTAATTTTTGTATATTTTATCACCCCTAAAAGGAACCCACCACTCATTAGCAGTCAGTCTCTATTGCCTCTATCCCCCAGTCCTAGTCAACAGCTAATCAGCCTCTCTATGGATTCACCTCTTTTTGTGATATTTCATATAAATGAAATTGCACAATATGTGGCCTTTTATGTCTTCTCTCACTTGGCATAATGTTTTCAAGGTTCATCCACATTGTAGCATGTATCGGTACTTCATTCCTTTTTTTGGCTGAATAATATTTCTTGTATGAATATATTACATTTTCTATATCAGTTCCCCTTTCCATTGATGAATATTTGGGTCAATTCTACCATTCAGCTATTATAAATAATGCTGCTATAAACATTTGCTTACAAGTTTTTGAGTGGACATATATTTTCAGTTCTCTTGGGTTTAAATACCTGAGAGCAAAACTGTACCCATTTAAAAAATTAAGTTGTTTGTCTTCTTATTATGGAGGTATATAAAGTTTTAAAGGTTGAGGTTACAGATGTGTGTATCTCTTAAATCATGCATCTCCAGGATAGTCCTGTGTTTTAATTTTAATGTAGTTTTAATGAATGGTTTATAAAAGCTTGATTACCCAATGTCTTCTGAAAATAATATAATTAAATCAACTTAAAAAACCAGTTTGTATTGATCTAAATTATTTAAAATATATAAAGTAAACCCTTTAAATTATTTTTATTTTACCTTAAAAGTTTCTTCAGCTATTCTTCTAGAATTCATTTAGTCACTTGTTGTGTGTATATTTACTGGTATTGCCTTTTGAGTGTCAGGCATCATACCAAGGTATTGAAATAAAACATATGGGGTATAACATACAGTTACGAGTTATAAAATATAGTCGTAATTATTTTATGATATGGATGTGTTTTTTGTTAATAGTTATATGTCACTCTCCCTCTTCTCACAGTTCACAATAGCCCTCCATTAAGGATTATTCAAGACACACATATGAATAAATCTCCCAGTTCAGTGCTTAAATAAATACAGGTCCTTTGATGCCGTCTGCTGATTTTTTCTTCAGTGTGTGTACGATGAGGACTGTCACACTGTAAGTAATGGAGATGTGTCTGTCTTGTTACTTGCAGCATTGCTGACAGACAGAGCGCCTTGGAGGCTGAGCTGAGGACAGTGCAGGCCTCTCGCAGGGACCTGGAGAACTTCCTGAAGTGGCTACAAGAAGCAGAAACCACAGTGAATGTGCTCGCGGATGCCTCTCAGCGCGAGAATGCTCTTCAGGACACTGTCTTGGCCAAGGAACTCACACAGCAGATGCAGGCAAGTGCCCAGAAAAATGCAACCAGTCTTTATTTACCATTAAAATTGATTACCATTGACAGGTAAGGTTGTCACCTTTTTCTTTTATGATATCCATCCTCTGCTGTAAAGAATTGGTTTCTGGAAATAAGATCTGTAAAATACATTTACTTAATAATTGGGGGAAAACACTTTGTTTTATGCAAGTAATAATTGTTTATTTAGACTTCCAGCCTCATAGCTATTCTGTTTTCTGTCATTTTAAGCTCTATTACAGTTAGCCTTATTGAATCTTACATTATAAGAACATTTCCTCTTAATATGAAGTTGTTTTTTTCTCCAATTATTATAAATACTTAATATAAAAGCTGTAAAGGCTCTATGGCTCAGTTTACAACTAAGAACATTGGGCTTGAAGGTATTACTTTTATGTCTCTAGCTTGATAATATGACATTCATTCTGAGGTTCAAGTTTTCCTTCTACACAAAATGTGGTAATACAAAATATTTCCTTTAAAAAATTTATGAGGACTCTTATAAAGCACATCTGCTTCCCTTTCCTATCCCCAAGTACAGCTGGGGTAGTGTCCTTGAACTTCCATTTTTTGTGTGTGTGTAGAATGACCTCCTCTTGCCAGTCACAGGCCTTCTCACTTAGAACTTGCTTTAAAATCTATTTTGATGGAGAAGTCTCCTTGCTATTTTATATTTTGACCTGGTGGCAATGGGGAAAAGTCATTAAAGGGTATTAAGAATGAGAGCAATGCAATGGATTTGTATTTTATAGGAATCTAGCTGATGGTATATATGAGGAATGGGTTTGACCTGGGCAGGACTGACCAGAGCAGGCTGTTAGGATATGCTTGTAGCCAACTGGTCAGAGGTGACAGTGATCAGGAATGAGGCAATAGCAGGGGGCATAGACCTAATGACATGATAGTATGGGTCCACTGAGGGAAGGGGCGGAGGTAGAGACAAAGAGGATTGCCGGGTGACATTAGAGCCTGCAATTGGGAATATAGGAAAAGGAAATGTCAGGGCAGAAGTGCAAGGTGATGGGCTGGCACATTTCATTCTGACTATGTTGACATGAGGCATTTGAGTGATATCCAGGAGGAAATGCAGTTTGAGTGATATCCAGGAGGAAACTATGGGTCTATATTCAGATGAGAGACTTTGGCTTGGCCTAAGATGCAGAAACATTTTGTTGTTTTTGAATGAAAGTCTATTATTGACTTCCCAGTTTATCTCTTAATTCAAATGCATTTATTCATGATTTTCACACCCACATTCTAACACATTATCATTTTAATAATTTTTTTTAATGTGAGTTTTACATTTTAGCAGTACCAATGGTCTAAGATGCTCTGATTATCTCCTGGGTAAAATCACACCGCCCTGGAGCTTTTCTGGGGTGGTGTTATACCAGGTGGCTGTTTTTGCTCCTTGACAGTATGTGTTTGGGCTTATTAAATTTTCATCTCCTGTACTCTCTTTCAGTCTAATTTTCATCCTCTTATTCTATAAGTTCATACTTCGATTGTTTAGATTGTTTCAAATCTTCCCCTGTACCCAGCTCCATCCCCAGCATAGTGTTGAGAAGGGGGGAGGGCATACATACCTGTACCATGGAAACGTGCCTGATGGTTTAGGGACAGGAATTACATCTTTTTTGATAACAGCTTTATTGACATATAATTCATATGGCATACAATTCACCCATTTAAAAAGTACAATTTATTTTTAGTATATTCACAGTGGTGCAGCCATCATCACAGTCAAATTAGAACATTTTCATCACTTCTGCACCCCTTAGCTATCAACCTCCCATTTGCAACTCCCTGATCCCCCACCCGTGAGCAATCACTAATCTACTTTCTGTTTCTATATATTTGCTTAATAACTTAATATTTTTAACTATATCATCAATTTAACTACCTCTTCCGATTTGCCTTTGCGTAGCTATTTTGACATTGTTAGCCTATCCAGAAGGAGGCAGTGTAGGTTCTCAGTATAGACCTACAGGGGAAAAACCAATCACAAGCAGAAGCCCACCAAAACACTGCTTGATAAACACAACTCGGTAAGACCCAGTAGAGGACTTTAACTCAGGCTAAAATCAAGGACTGCAAAGGCAGAAGAAGTACAAGAGAAACACACACTTTAAACACTGTGTTTCTTGTAAAGAATCATGATAATAATGGAGACAGGTGAACATGCGACATTCCCTGTGTTATTAGTTTGAGCAGGACACTGATAATGAGGAACGTCTGGGTTCTATTTTTGGCTGTGCCCTTTGACTCAGCCATTTAATCATTCTGGGTTATTTTGCTGACTTCCTAATAGTACTTTCTCCCACTGGATACATATAGTGATCTTCCAGCTGCAGTTTGAGAAAATGCATCTCCAGCTGTACACATGCCTATAAAACTCAAAAATTCGGTGCTTGGTTTTTACATCATATAACCGTGTCTTACATTTCTTCCTGATTAAATTAAAGCAGCTTTATGACAGATAAAATGAGATCATGAAGATGCCGTCTAAGGGGAAATGTGGTCATTTAGAATGCTCAGTAGTCAGTTACAGGCTTTTTTGTTGTATTAACTTTGTTTAATTAGAGGGGTCCTGACCTAAAGTTAGGTTTTGATTTTGAATGGCTTTCTTCCTAGGCAGCATCTTCCACTCTGCGTTTAGGGTGTCTGGGTAAAGCCACATACCCCCTGCAGGTATTGCTGTTTTGTTTTGTTTTGTTTTAGATGATCTTGTTCTGAGACCCATCTGGAGCTGATTTATTAGCACTTAACGGATGGGCCGATATCATTAGGGTCAGGTACCCTTCTGCCCGGCTCCCGATTTATAACAGGGTCTGTTCACGCATCGCTCAGAGCCGGCCAGAGCTGCGTTTAGTCGGGGTGAACGCATCGCATCCCTCTCTGCCGCCAGAGAGTGAATGCTGCTTGATCTCTTAATAGAAACCCGCCAGGAGGCCTGCACCGAGGTGGTGATGCTTCAGTCTCGGTTCCCAGGGGATGTCTGCTTTGTATCTGCAGCTTTCATGTTTCACTTAATATCCGTTTTGGCTCCGGAGCGCGCTCCTCTCCAGCAGCAGGCGCGTTTGGCTGCTCAACTTGCCTGGTTCCCCGGCCCCGCCGGGCGGAGCGAGCGCTGGCTCTGAGCATCTGGGGGGCAGGGGGGGCTTTCTGGGGGCGTTTGCATACGTTTTTTAAATTGGGAAGAAGTTGAAGGAATTGCAGCGTCCTTTTGCCAAGAGCCCGAGCCCCTGTATCTTTCAAATGCGTTCCTGGAAACGAGCATGCTCAGAGAACTGGCAAATCATTGTCCAGTGACCAGGAGGAAACGATCATTGCTCTTCATTTATAATGCAAATTCTGAGGTGTCTCCAGAAGTGTGGTAAACTTAAAATGATGGCTGTGGTGAGAACGTCTCTGCAGAAAGTTGTGGTTTTGTTACATCGTTTGCAGAGGATGGCAGTTTCTTCTCCTCGGTATCAGAAGCTCTGTAAGGTAACTGACTGGTGGTTGAAAATAAGGGTCTCTGGGTGTCTGGCAGCGCCAGGCGCTCAGAACTAATCCTCCAGCGTCCTTACCCAGCAGGGACTCCTTTTCGTAGTGACCGTTAAAGCCGGTAAAGTGACTTGCTAATTACATTTTGTTTAAGAATCAGGAACAAGTTCTGTTTTGTGCTTATCTTATTTTGCAACTGAAAACCTTGTCTTCTGAGAAGGGCTAGTGAACTGTTTGAAGAGAATACAGCAAAACTACCTTCATCAAGACCTGTTACCTCTGTGACACTTTGCAGTGTCTTAAGACTGAGGGACCCGTTAGCCTTATGGAAATTCCAGTAAATTAGAGAAGAGTTTAAAATAATCTTTCAGTACGTTACTTAAAACCTGTCCATGTCTTCGCAGCTAATTGTTTTATTTCAGTTTGAAAAATGAAAGCACATCTTGAAAACTCTTAGACTTATTCTCCTCCTTAAAGAGCTTAATTTTATTTGGACAGGTGGATTAAGCGCACTGGCAGGAGACAACTTGTTTGACAGATGCACATTTCAGATACTACGTCATCCTAAACATAAACAATTGAGGGAGCGCTTGTATTATTTCAAGTTAGCTGTTATATTTTGGTCATTGCTTTGTTTACTTGAACTATGTTTACACTAGCTCATTACTTTTGTTAAAAATTGGAGCGATGTGGTATAAGAGGAATTGTAACAGGAATGTTAATGCATTTTATGTGGTACCTCAGTACAATATTTTTCCTTCATGTCATGTTTTAGTGCCATTTCCAAGAATGTAGCTTACTGTCCCCTTAGCTTCCCAAACTCATTTATAATTGGAACAACGGTCTCTAGGACAATATTATGTTCATGATGATGCAAAATATGACATTTCTAAGCACCTAAACAGCAGATAGGGGGTGGGGGAGGAAGGCAGTATTTTATTAACTTTATCATATCATATTTTTACTTCTTACAGTTTGGTCAATTAAATGTATTTCTGTCTGAAAATTTATTTTCTTTGAAAAGTTTTAGGAGACAGAATAAGGTAGTGGCGTATTTGCAGAAATACTTAGATGTGTTTTGTTTGCATAAGAAGTTAATGAAAACTTAATGAATTAATAATTTAGTTGTAAAAATTTGTAAATTAATTATTTCAATGTGTTGTGTTTTGGTCCACTTTAGAGAATAAATTTATTCTGACAAAACATTTACGTATTATATAAACAGGTAGTTTTGATAATAGAGAAGAAAAGCACATTTGCTAATGAATGTTATTTTATCTTTTTAACTACAAATGTGAATGTGTAAAACATCCTTTTTTTTATTAGCTGGGTCATTTTTCCAATTCATTTGTATGCATACTTTCACAAAATCAAGTATTTTTTTCTCAAGTCATGTGACCAAAGTCTGAGGTATGAAGCAGAAGAAGTTCAAATACTGGACAAAGTTGTGTAATTTGTTTCATAATTATACCCCAAATAAACAGAAGTTTAGTTACT